ATTGATTGATTAATTGATTGACTGATGAAATGATTGATTGATTGATTGATCGATTCATTGATTAATTGATGATTAATTAATTGATTGAATGATGAAATGATTGATTGATTAATTGATCGATTTATTGATTGATTAATTGATTGACTGATGAAATGATTGATTGATTGATTGATCGATTTATTGATTGATTAATTGATTGATTGATGAAATGATTGATTGATTGATCGATTAATTGATTAATTGATGATTAATTGATTGATTAATTGACTGATGAAATTATTGATTGACTAGTTCGCTGACTCATTCAATCTCAACGCTCATAAACTGATGTTGACAAACTTTGATTGCTCACCGTTCTGGTAAGTCACAGCAACAAACAAGCCTATTCATTTATTAGAAATTTACTAGTGGTTAGTGAATTTTTTTTCTTCAAACTTGGAGCCTGCAGTCACAGTTAAATATGTTCTTGCAGGGTTAAGGATCGCAATGCTCTTATGAACGCGTTAAGTGTCGAAGGTTCTTACTTCAAGGATGATGACACAGGTATACATGAATATAAATTTACTTAATACGTCGCAAAGCATTACTGGGATACACCAACCTATCTTTCACAGCCGCCATCTTTAGTTCCTTTGTGTGGAATCATCGCCCAGAATGGCTATTGTTGGCGGGAATTAGACAACACAGCTTTGGAGATTATGTTTTCAACATAAATCATAATGTTGACTRCAGATAAAATATTTTGAAAGGAATTAATATTTTTCTTTTTCTTTTGTTTTTTTAGGCGTTGTCACCGACTTTAGGGTAAGAGTTTACAATATATGATGAAGATCGACGTTCAATTCAACGCAAACTGTGTAGATATGAAATACCAAGTTATCAAAAAGCTATTGTTGTATGATACAGAAATGGCAGATACCGCTGGGTAGGCGATTCAGGGCGCTAAAGCTATGGTTTGTGTTACGTACTTATGGTATGGAAGGAGTTCAGCGTCATGTCAGAGAGGTAGATTTTTTAGAACAAAATCACATACTTAAAAAAATTATTTTGTGATTTTTTCACCACATATGAAAAAAAAAACAAAGAAAAAGAAACAATATCGACAGTCTACTGGAGTYTACTGATGTCATCTTCATTTCTTATTTCTATCACAGCACATCGAGCGCACCAAACTGTTTGAAACTTTAATAGCTCAAGACGTTCGTTTCGAGTTCTGGCCAAGAAAACCTAACTTGGGTTTGGTATGTTTTAGGATAAAGGTAAGTTTTCCAAGCCTGAATCCCGCAATACCTTGCACTGGAGCATCAAAGATTTCACATTAGTTCTGGAACTGATTTAACACGAGGATTGGAAACAAATTAATGGATAAAATATAATATATTATTACCTACAATGATGAAGAACTTACCGACGTTTTTTTGGACGATGGTCTTGGTCGTCGTCTTGACCGTCCGATATCCCCCAGTATGCCCCCGAAACCGCAGCACCCGAAACCGCAGCATAAAGTTCTGCAAAGAAATACAATGAAAGTAAATAAATCAACTGAACACTAACTCTCTCATTGCTCAGGGTGCAGATGAACTGACCAAATCATTGTCAGAAAACATCAACGCTGGTGGACAAATTGCCTTGTCAGCTATGCAATTTAAAAAGAAAATAATCATCCGTTTCCATGGTGGCCTTGGCAACGATAGTCACGTGCATAACGCTTGGAATGTCATCAAGAATGAAACGGATAAATTATTAAAACAAAATATGAATTAGTTCGCTGTGGGAAAATAGGATAATTTTATTATCTAAAGAATATGCGTTCATTTTAAGTTGTCTTGAATTAAGAATGTGTTGATATAGTAAAGAACACGACAAAATTGAAGATATACATACACCCAGATTTGCTAAGTAAAGGCTCCTTACATAAAATTCTCTTTACAGTCATTTGTAAGCAATAACGTTCCTCTTCAGAATTATTAATATGATTAATGAGTTCATTAAAAAACATTATTTGTTAATTTATTAGTTCAAATTTTAATAAAGCTATCAATCATTGTAATGGTTCGCAAGTGATCAGAATCTTGTAAAAAAAGTCACACAGAAAATGTTTGCAAGGAAGTAAATCGATCTTTTTTACTTCCTCTCTATAATACGTTGATGAATGACGTTTAACTTCCTTTCTTGATGAAACAACGGCTGGATCAACAACAAACGTTATCTAAAATACCAATAAGAGGTGGTCCCTAAGGGAGGTCACACATATCGGCTTTCAWGAAAGGTTTGTGTACCAGACAGAATTTCCTCAAGACTGCACCGATTTCCATTGCTTTGCTAGCTAATAAGTTGAATTCTGAGAAAAAATTGACATTTTTCCACGTTCTAGAAAGTCAACGACCATCAGGACGATGAACATGAAAGAGGTACGTCGATAAAGTATATAAGCTATCGATTCCTGAAGAGAATTCATTTCATAGTCCAATTTRGCCCGTTGATTAAATTGCGATGCCAAGTTCGTTTAGTGACCTTCAATGCTTATGAGATGTAAATTGTGAAGGTTGTTTCAGGTGTTAGCGATGCCCGATAAACTAGCACGCATAACTTAACAAGAAAGGTTGTCACTAGAATAGCTGTAAAGTTTAGTCGAACTTGGATCTAACTATTATTGCGATGAAACATTATTCGAGTTTTAAACGATGTTAGCATGCCGGGTAAGGCATTTCTGATCTGAGAAGCCAGCGCCGACGAAATAAATCGGGAGAAGTATAACACTTAATTTTATGAGTGATGGACAGAGCCTGACCGTTCCTCAAGTAAAAAAACAATGAAATACTCGACTGTTGTCGGAAGCCGTGGTAGCCAATTCACTCACATTCTTAATCTTGCTTATATGCAGGGGTCCTACAGCGCACTTCCTGGAACTATTTTATGGCAAGGTCTCAGTTATCTTTASAATATCAAAAGCGGAAATRCAGTTTTAGGGAGATTTTTGATCAACTCGTTTRATTRCCTTTGATGAGTTGRTCTCTCACCATTGCTTGGTTTCMTKAAGTTCTGTTATAATTGACATAAGCGCGTTCACTGATTTCGAATAAACAATCGTACATTGATATCAAAAGGGAACTTAGACTCAATCTCTTGAGGGAGAGAAATAATTTTTAATACAATGTACAGACATGCGATACAAATCCAAGCATAATACAAGCAATTTGTGTTTAATAAAATGAATTGTTATTTTGAGTGATTGCCGAAGTACTTTTAAGTGACTTGCTCAGACTCGTGACCTTTCAAGGCCCTTCGTGTACGTGTTCCTCCAAAATCTTTGCGTGCTCTATTTCATGAGTGATCAAAGGAATTCTATCCTTTATTTCATAAATATGCAACCTTCACATCATGATTCACCTTGAGGAGTGTTATGTCTGTTCCTGTAGAGACGTTATCATTGGCATGAATCCATAGAAAAGGTTAAGTAACGCTGCCTGGTCTGGGTGGGTTCAGACATCCCAGTATGCTGTATGTTTAGAGGGGTACTCTTAGGACTTTTCCACTGACATTGTTACGTTTCCGTAGCGTCTCCGTAGCATTTCCGACGAGGATTATTCAGTTGTATATCATTTCTGTCATTTCGATGTGTGGGGAACGAAGGACTCCTTTTGCTCTATATCGTTTACGTATACCGCTAGTTCTAAAAAGGTCTATATTGCATGCCGTCAATTTGAGAGTGCATGTTGTCGATCAGAAGGTGTCGGCAGTCAAAGATGTCCTCAGTCTCTACGTAAAAAGAAGACGTTTGTAGCGAAAGACCGGCAGAAGAATGTTGAGAGTAGATAAGAGAAAAGCTATCAATTTCGATGGATTTTTAATTCATTTGCGCCCTTTCTCTCTATGTAGGTCTTCCTGGTGAGCATTATTCTCTTGTTTTGGTTCGTTCATCCATCTGAATCAGGTATAATGCAGTAATCTAAACGCAATATTTCATTATATAACTATGCTATAATAACTATGAAATTGCAAACTCATTAATTGGCAATACAGTACTAATTCATAGGATTGTATCTCAAGTACAGAGACGTTGCAAAGCTCCTGTCCGCATCGAAAACGGTGTAAGAGCGTCAAAAASAASATTTTATAGAATTGGASAGGCACTTCTCTACCGCTGTAAGGCTGGMCACGCAAAGGAAAATAAAACTACGCCCCTGTGCACYCARACTGGGAAATGGAGCCACAWGAGMTGGGCTTGTAAACGTAAGTTAACGTTGWGCAAATRAATTAGAGGCAGAAGAKTTTTACGAAYCACAGTTTTCTAGGAACTGTCACTAATGTTAGTTATTACCAACAATTTGATGGTTACTCCATCAATCTTGATCAGGTATATTATAGTAATCTCAACGCAATATTGAAATGTAGCCATTTCATTTAGAGGACGGTTAGACCCGCAGTGTGATTATACAGTTATGAAATTGCAAACTATTAATTGGCTATACAGTACTAACTCATAGGATTGTATCTCAAGWACAGAGACGTTGCAAAGCTCCWGTCCGCATCGMAAACGGTGTRAGAGCGTCAAAAAGAAGATTTTATAGAATTGGTCAGGCACTTCTCTATSGTTGTAAGGCTGGACACGAAAAGGAAAATAAAACCACGCCCTTTTGCAATCAGACYGGGAAATGGAGCCACATGAGYTGGGCTTGTAAACGTAAGTTATTCAAATAATTTGAAATTAAATGGTTWTTACTAGTCGAAGTKTGCTAGGAACTGTCGCTGATGTCTGTTRCGTACCAAAGTTTATCACTCARTACTTTATTGGGAAATTCAACGGTGCTGTTCCTTAAATCTTCATCGTATATATTTCAACGAGTTCTAGTATACTGTACGTAATGAGTTCGACAAGTATTCTCTTACTCATAAACTATTCCCCAGCCATCTCATGTGGAGAACCACCAGCTATCCCAAATGGCCGGTATTCAGCAAGCAGGCTCACTTACGGCAGTAACGCGACCTATACATGTAACTATGGCTACAAGATAGTTGGACGACCCTATCGAATATGTAAGAAGAATGGAAAATGGACTAAAAAGCCACAGTGCTTAAGTAGGTAGAGGCACCTCTCATTACTACCGTTTCAACAATATCGACCAAGCAAAGGTCTTTTGTTTAAATTCTATGGTGTATTTTTCAATCAGTGTCTATATAATCATGCCCATTCTGACGTCAGACATAACTCTCTCTAATTTGGCCTGTTTGCTGCGTTTTTCTCAGATTCTTTCATAATTTGCCTCCCGTCTTTTTCCTCTCGTTTTTATCTGCCCTCTTCCATACCTCTTGGTCCTCACTACCTATGCCTACCCTCCAAGGAATCTCCATTAATAGAATCTATATTATTTTTATATTTCGCTCAACAGAATATAGGTGTAGGATCAAAGGGAAATTGCGTATCGGAAATGGACAAGTCAATGTTACCGATCAGACMCTATCCCATGRTGCAACGCTGATATTCAAATGTAAGCCTGGCTATGATTTGATAGGAGATGATACTACCACATGTCTAGAAGGCCGCTGGAGCCATACCACTCCACCTTCCTGTAGAGGTTTGTACTGAGCAAGCACAGAAATTCTTAGTTGGAGCTTAAAGTGTATTTGACCACAATAACCATTAGTTTTGTCCTGTCTTCACAGCAAAGACCTGCCCTAATCCTGGCTCACCTGAGGGTGGATATCGGCTTGGCTATAACTTTCGCATTGGAAGCACTGTTCGGTTTATTTGTGGTCCAGGTTACAAGATGAGAGGATCTCGTTCACGCACTTGTATGGGAAATAAAACATGGAGTGGAAACTTGACAATTTGCGACASTGGAAGTAATGAAAGCTTTATCCTTGTAGCAATTTCCGAATATTTTCAAGACCTCTATTTTCTTTTTCAGGGTCAGACTGCCCTGTTCTTGGCACGCCAGTCAGTGGATATAAGATTGGCAATCGATACARYTTTGGTTCAATAGTRCGMTTCAAATGCARGCGGGGCTACATACTTACAGGATCAAGTCACAGGCTTTGTACAAACAAGGGCACGTGGAACGGAACTGAATCGAAGTGTGTGGGTAMGTAAGATCTKCKATATGGGCATTWTCATCGAGTATGKGCAMGGCTTTTCCGGWTTGACAACGTTAGTTTTCTATCTACTTGATATGGTAGACGGTTTTCCACTTGTCAATGTTCAAGAGTATGAATTTGACGACCGCATGGCACTACTATGAGCTACATGATATAGAAATGAAGGAAAGTTATAGTGTTYAGAAGGAGGTTATTCCTGGAAAAAGATCCCATATTTCAGATKCATATCCTATCCTATYCWWWTCATATCATTACATYTTAATTACCGCAACCTAGCATCTMTTTCACCCCGGCCTGCTCCCAGTCTCTCCTTGTAGCTCAGTTGGTAGAGCATTGTTAGTACATCGTGGGTTCGAATCCCAGCGAATKTGTTTCCGAGGGTCTTTCTCCCGAAAAAACCTCCTAATTGTAAGCACTATAACTTTCCTTCATTTCTATATCWCTGTCAGAGTAACTTTGTTTTAATACATATAGATATCTTTGATCACTTGGTCACCGATGTCGATCAAACAGCGATTCTACTTCGCAAAGGCCTGGATACTATGTTAGAATACACGTGCTCCGGTGGGAACAARACTTGCAATATATCTGGTGTTGACACAAGAGCAAGGAAAGTGTCTGTAGACTTGACCGATTCAAAAGGTTTGGATGTGCTCTTCATATTTGATGCTTCTTCGAGCATAACAGACAGCGATTTTAAACTTGGGGTTCAGTTTGCAAGGCGCCTCGTCAATGTGCTTAATCCGACATGGAAGTAAGTATATAGCATTGGTTCGTCCTAATAAGTGTTTTGTTATATTAGCTTTACAGAGCAGCAGGAGGAAAGAGTTAAAGAAGAAAAGCAAAGAGAAAGGGTTAATTTCTCACTCATTGTCCTCCACCTTAGAGGAAAAAGAAAGAGAGAATTGGTAGAAGCAAAATTCCTACGAAGGCATAAAGTGTCCCCTAGCTGTCGATATCTGCACAAATTATTCTAGTAATACCATGATGACCTTCGATTCCATTGTCTTCCGAAGGGTTTACAAACCCGAATTTCCCTCATGAATAACATGAGGGAAATTTAGAAGACAAAGGATTCTTTTGTAAAAATGTTCCCTCGGTTTCTGGGAAATTTAATCACTAAYTTCCCTCGTTCCATGGTATTACTTATAAAGATAGGATAAAAAGATTCCTTTATTTCTCAGGCCAAARGGGACAAGAATTGCTGCAATTGTTTACGCAACACAGGCCGAAGTGGTATTCAATTTCCRKGAACACGCCGCATTATCGATYTSGGGTGTTCATAACATGCTTCGAAAGTTAATCAAACTACGAACAAATAAAAACTATCGATCTCTTAAAAACGTATYACCAARACTACAAAATGACGCTTTATTCAARGGGGGAACAGCTTCTGCACAAGCACTAGAATTAGCCGCCGCAAAAGTTTTCGTTACAAGGAAAAGTCAACGCCAGCGAGTCTTGTTTTTCATAACTGATGGGATGTCTAACATTGGCGGATCGCCGATCAAAAAAGCTAAGATTCTGAGGAATAGACCGGACAAAGGAGGCTTTAATGTCGATATATATGCCATCGGAATTGGCAAAAAGGTAGCAGATCCAAGCAATAACATGTATAAAGAACTATACGATATAGCCTCACCAGGGGTTGATCATGTAATCATTGTCGAAAGTTTTAAACATCTTAATAATGCAAGCAAAAAGGCAATCGAAATCAAATATGGTAAGTATACTGAATATAGCCGTTGTTGCCAATTCTTACCAAATATCCGTATTGATCGTTTTCAACCATTCCCATGAGATTCAAAAGATAAAAGACCGGCGGCCATGTTGGAGGAATGAACAATAGATACTACTGAGAAATCCTTTGTTAAAGTTCCTCCAAGATGGCCGCTGTGACGTAATCTGCAAACGAAGAATTCCATACTATTTCTTGAGGAACTTCCATAAATTTCTTGGGGAGCATTTTCTTAAGAGCTGTAAGTCATTCAATTTTTATACCAKCAAAAGCGCGAATTCAATGCAACTTACYTTTCYTYTTCTCTGTCATATCACACGATAGATTACAGACCTTGTGGTGAGGGATTTAGCTTTTCTGATAGTCGCGGTCGAGTTGCAGGTGGAACAGCATCCAAGCAAGGCAAATGGCCATGGCAGGTTGGAATTTATATCTTGTCGAAAAGCGGTAAGAGTGAAAGCTTGTAGATCAGTAGCAAATCTTCCACTTGTTTGCGGTGCTGTTCGTTTGAATGTAGTGGATTATAAAACTTGTCTTATTTAAGTCAAAAAAAAAAAAGAAAAGAAAAAAGGATGCAGATGAAGGCCCGTTTTCTACTCCTGGATCTGCCACTGTATAAGACTGAGAATTGAACCGGCAACTTCATTTTATCGATTCAGTTCTAATTAAAACAGTATCTCTTGTTTCAGGTATGGATAAACTTGAGCTAATATGTGGAGGTGCATTGGTCGAACGAGATTGGGTCTTGACAGCAGCCCATTGCTTGTACGAAAAACAGGACAATGGCTTATTTAGAAAAATGCATCCGTCAGGGTAATCTGAAAGTTTCATAATTTCTACATCTGATAATTATGACTTATAATCAATTTGTCATATATCATGGTTTTATGAAGACGTGCGCGCAAGATTKAAAAGAGAGAGTTTTCAAGAAGGAAGCTATAAGTATGGAGAGATTGGGTGACATTTTTGTCCTTATGACCCTCGCAAGAAGTATGAAGATTATCAAAAAATGGATCGTGAAAGAACGCTTGTTCCTCAGGAGAGCTGGAAGCAGAAAACAAGCATGATGGAATGAGGGAAAAGTGATGAAGATGTAAAAAAACTAAAAAGAGTTTGAAATAAAAAATTGGATTATCGAGTTCTGAGGAGTAACTAAAAAACAGTCCGCAGCATGCAGGATGTCTCTAGATAATGTACAAATTAATACTCTATTTTTTTTCATCCCCAGGTTGACCGTGATAGCAGGTAGTAATGACTTGGCATCTCGTGCCTTCGACGAAAATGTAAAATCGACTCCAGCAGAAAAACTTATTAACCCAGACAGCTACATTCACGGTAATGGCTTCAAAAATGACATTGCTCTTATCAAACTTAAAGAGCCGTTTGAGCTTGGCCCTTTTATTCGAAAGATATGCCTTCCAGGGAAAAAAAACKTGGACATGCCAGGAAAAACAGGYTATGTCGCTGGCTGGGGGAAAACAAAAACATACAAGAACGGTGGAGAGGCAAAGTCGCTKGAAAATTCAAAAGTGCTYATGGAGTCCCGCTTCGAGATACAACCACCTCAAATCTGCATAAACTCGACCAGCAAAAGGCATAGGGGYGACGTTGATCCAAAAGTAGTGTTYTGYGCAGGTGACGGACAGGGCGGGAATGACACGTGCTCGGGAGACAGCGGTGGAAGTTTTATGAGATTGGTCGAACAAGAGGGAAAATGGAAATGGGTGTCAGTAGGATTGGTCTCGTGGGGGGAGGGGTGTGGAATGMMGAATAAGTATGGGATGTACACCAAAGTTTGGCCATTTGTTGATTGGATTAAAAAAACCATTCGGGATTATAAATAGAAATTGGCTTCATGTTAATGATAACTACTCTTAAAAAATTTATATCAAACCTGCTCTAAGTGCAATAAAAAAACGTAGGGGAAATTATAATGAAAAAGCAAGCGTGAATAAAGAATATGAGTTTTATTTATAATAAATAAAATGAGTTTTATTAATACCTGTGTGGTCAGATTTGCAATACATTTTAAAATATTGTTTTAATTTAATACTTGGGCAACGCTGATGCTACCAATTATTGAAAAAGTAAAAATCGCAATGTTTTTATCAATCCTCGTAAAATAATTGTGTACTTTTTTGTGCATATAAATAGTTTTCCAAATCAAGAGTCATTTTCATCCGTCTGTGAAATAGGAATTGTACTACTATTAAATGCTATTACACCCCTATTAGCTACCAATAGTTTATTATGACATGCGACAAACAAATTGGGCAAATTTTGCCTTTTGGTAAATGGTGGGAACTAGCGGTAAACTAGTGTGACTTGCGTCGGTGTTTCTAAAGAAACAGTTGTGTAAAAAGATAAATTTAACACCGTAAAAAAAGGATGTGAAATAAAAATTGAAAAGAAACAGTTGTGTAAAAAGATAAATTTAACACCGTAAAAAAAGTATGTGAAATAACTTATTGACGTTTCGGACGTTAATCCTTCGTCGGAGTAAATCGCTACTACACCATAATAGCTATTAAACACTGACTAGTAGTAATTGTTTCACAGACGGATGAAAATGACTCTAATACTTCTTTCAAAAACGTCCATACTGAATACATGTAATAGCTCTCATAYTGCGCATATCGTGTGACCGAARTGCATTGCAGCCTTTTTATGTACCGGCAAGGTTTTTCCAAGTTCAAGTTCATTTTATTTTTGCTAATTTGTTGGCTTGTAAAATAGAATAAATACTCATCGATGCTTCTGAAATAGCCGTATAAAATGCAATGATTTGTGAATTCAATCGTTTTTCAATCGGTGTCTTTGTACAATACTTGAATCAACTCTCTTTTTAGTCTCAATAATGGCAGAGGTATTGGTTCGTTTAATGAAAAATCACAAATTTTATCAAATTTGCATCTAGAAAGATTTATAATAATTAAAAATATGTTTTTTGACACTAGGTTCATTTTAAAAACGATAGTGATTCAGACACAAATTTTTATTATCATTTAAAAATCACAAATGTTCTTTTTGTGTATGACAACTTTTTTGTAATTAGGCGAGCATATTAAGCCTGATAATATCATAAATCTATCTACATTAGACGTCTTTGATTCTGTACTTCTCGAGTATTTCCTGTTTTACAAAATAATAATCCAAAAAGCTTCCCCTTGGTCATTCGCAAAACAAATACCTTTTACTGCAGCCTCAGTCACGTTCAGTAKAGAGYACTTAGARARGAGGAAGTCTAGGATAAGCTAGGAGAATAAATTGACAATCAYTCCCTGAACTGATCGAGTCAGCGACGTACATTTAAGCGGGAATTCGAAAATCACAGCCATCACCCGCCAAAAAGCCGTACCACGTGTCATTATAAATAAACCAGATAGTRTTTAAAACTAAACCAATAAAATTAAACTTTTCTCGAGAATTTCTGCCAATGTCCTTAATTTTTAATGTATTCGTCGATGGTAGGTCTCGACTAATTTGTGTTTTAAAACAACATTCATTGGTTAAAGAGAACTAAGTTCATAATAAATCAAATGTCGCAATAGATAGTGTTAATTATCTGCCTTTACTCGATAGGTGGACTGTGTTGCTTTGGTCCGGAAGTGCATTATTCACTCGTATTTTTTACAGAGCACATCCAGACGAGAGTAGCAGAGGATCTCAGTTTGTTCCTTTGAGGAAACTGAGTGGATCTAGTTTTCTATTGGAACTCCAAACTGCCTGTTTTTCCCGTATTATAAACTTAGCGACCCATGACCTCTTAGGGTGTTGATGTAATTTGGAAATACGTCGACCCGCGGTAAATAGAACTGGTTTCTTATTACTGATCTAAGCGAAGATTATGTTGCTTCTTCTGCTGTAAGGTACGCCTCAAGAGTGCAACAATTGTAGAATCCAACSAACTAACAAGTGTGAATTTGTTGGACTTGAAACTACCCGGTTGTGGCGTTGTATCGATATTGTGAATCCTCCGACGGGTCGGCTGTGATAAGAGCTTGAATTACACTAGTTTCATTGGTTATTTGGCTTGACACGAAGCTCAACGACAGATACGCTCTTGTAACAAGGTGCTCGGGAAAGAGGAGCCATGCTGTACAGCCTTTGGGCCGTTGTGTGGGTTACTTTGCTCTTTTGTTCATCGGTTGAGGGGCTAAAGACAAAAGGTACGTGAATCATTTCCACCGTAATGGGTTRTGTTCCCTACACGAGGTTTGCTGTGTACTGATTAAACATGAGGTTCAAATGCGAGCGCAGCGGTGTTTATAGCTAAACATACGGAAGATGTCTCTCGAAACGAATCATAGTATCATCTAAGAGCGACTGCTGATAGAGACAGATAAAATCTTCCTATAAATCCTTATCTGGAATATGCTCAAATCCCCGTTACGTTTACTTATTTAATTGTTTTTTTGCGTCAAGCGTGGAGAATATCGAGTATATCTTAGTAATTGAAACCTTTTGAACGCCACTCATATGAAAATCAAGACGAAGATCTGCAAATTCATGCGTTTCTCGTTCAGAAACCAAGAGCTACGTTATGGGTTCTGGCCACACAACAAGATTTCGTTTATCTGTGGTATGAATCATACGTCAGCGAAGGCCAAGCTATAGATAGGAGCCTTTTAATCATGCTAGTTTTTGTATGAAAGTACKCTGCGGATGTTTGTCCAAAACATTCTTGTGAAATCCTTTAGTGTGTGAGAGTTTAGGGTCTCATACAGTCAAGAATCCAACGTCTAATATTCTGCGGCATGCCGTCTTGAGAATCGATTATTTGATCTCTAAGCCGTGCAACAGTGCAATAAACATCCTGATCAAGTGTTCGAACGCGTGCACCTAGATCACTCTGATAAGGGAATACTTCATGAGTGATAACTGCTTAAARCACTTTTATTTTGCGATCGTACATCGATAACACTACTGCGCTTTGAGTCTATTCTGCTGTCTTATAGTGAAGGTCGCAATAGGTGCCTGGTTTCCAACCGCAAAAGGAAAATCCTCTCTTATTAACGATTGCTGAACGTGTTACTCGGAACCGCATTTGTCCAAAAGTAAATAATTCAATCCATATTGACGGATATGATTTAATTCACATGTCAAAGCTCCACTTCAATATATCTAACTAAACTGAGAACCACACTCAGTTTTGATTGAATTATTTCTGAGCTTAAAAGACTTTTTTTCTAAACATCTATATTTTAAAAATAATTCTCCCTTTGATGTAACTGCAATCTGATGTTATTTTCAAACAACTCAAAGTAATCCTTTTATGCAATTAAGATAATTGGGAGGATATTCTTACAAATAACTCAAAGGAAAATGAAAAACTTGAGATGTGTTAAAATCCCTTGTCGAATRCGTTGGATTTACATATGTATACAGCCTGAATCAGCATTATTCTCGACAAGATTTATTCGSAAACCAGCTGATAATTAACGTTATTTTTTCACCAAATCYCCAGAATCTATGAATTACTCATGAGCCGGGGRATAAGTCTTCGTTTAGAATAATTCCCTCTTTACACATTTTTTKAAATTTGGATGGGATAGATTGCCTCCATTTTAAGCGAAATAATTACCCAAGTTTCTACATTCATTTTTACTCGTTTATATACAGCTGTAAGYATATTAGTATTTGCAATAAGTGCAAGAATTGTGCAAGAAATGATTGTTTTCAGTGTTTACTTAGGATTTTAGTTTCACATTCATTCCGAAAATTAAATTAGTTTTGTTTTTGTTTTTCTTTCGCTGCAGAAAGTCATCTTTCATTTTGTGGTCTGGAGAGAAAATACAGGAAATTTTGTTGTCTTTAAGTTTACCTTTCGACCACGTGTTTAGATAGTATATACTAGTAATACAGTATGTATGACACGATGTAAAATTTCATTTYTATTTTCCTGATACCAGAACCAAGTGATAAAAATACATAGCATCATGAGGTAAGACAGTATTCTACGAGTATTAGAATGATAAAAATTTATTTATTCACCATCTTGTTATGGAATTATATCAAGAGCATATTCTCTTGTGTACATTTCCGTTATTTATATAACTTTTGTAGGAACATAAATATCCTGTAATACAAGCTAAAACCATAAAACATTCTAAAACATTTTTGAAGAAATATATGGTAACTTATATCTGAAATGCAAGCTGAAAAACAAATGGTTATGAGGCGGAAGTGCTAAGGCAACAACTCTTCGTAGACGACCTTATCTGATAAAGAGATACAGAAGATTTTTTTTATGTTTTGGCGTCGGTAAGCAACTGAAGATGAATAAGTTTTCAAGGAAAAATTCATATAATGCTTTGATATATAATTATTACATAATAATATGCATTCATATAATATTAATAATATAATATTAATAATTATAATATTTTATATTTTGTTGTTGCAGTATACACTTATTTGCATAACGTTGTCCTAGAAATAGAACTTTACAAATCAAGAAATTTGATGAGAATAAGAAAGAATACTTATGCAGTCTTCATTTTTTTGTATTATTTTTTAATGGAGTATCAGAGCGTTTCTAGGATTATATTAAAAAACATTTATTGTAATGTATTGAATTGCACTTTCAACAAAAGAGGTGCAATCACCACCCATTTGAACATTGCTTCCTGTAATTTTCACACTTAAAGCAAATGCGTTATAAACTAAGATATAAGCTATTCTTCCMATTGTTTCCGTTTTCAATAGCACTAACCACTAATGGCTTTTTTCCTTAAAAGTGTTTTGATCCCACATTATAAAATGACACTAAAAATAGTAAGTGACACTGGCCTTATTCYCACTTGTGTTTTTCTTGCTTCCAATACCAGTTTAACAGGTTTTTKCATTCAAAACGGGGAAGAAACTAGCTGGGGGCCATCGATTTGGTCCCTGAATACCTATACATCTCAATATAATTCCTTTAAAGACGAAATAAGAAATCTTTGACATCTTAGAGGTGGAAAAAACCAACAGCAAACAAACTCATACATATCTGTACTTAATATTGTACTTATTGTACTAGTATGAATTAAATATAACCCGAGATTACAATGACGTACTGTAGCTCTATGTGAACAAGGTGTAKAGCCTTTCTAATCTTGTCAAGACCCTYYAGAGGTTTTCTTTTAGTGACGAAAGAAAAGGTCCTGATGTCGGGACAAAGTTTTGGAGAAGGAGCAAGGCAACCATGACATGCCGTAGATAGGCTTACTGCTTTTTGTACTAAGGAGATTATCTCCACCATGCGATCCATTCTTTGAATTTTTGCTCTTTTTTCAATTTTTCTTCGAGATATCTAAACATTTCGATAAAATGCTCGAGAATAAGAAAACGAATTAGAATGCGAAATATTTATAGAAGATGATTATCGCGTATAGTATGGTAAATTGTAATAAAAGATGCCATAAAATATAAATGTATTTTTTAAGATACAATTTAAAATCACGTACCAAAATTGGCGGGAGACAAAATGCCCCCATATCGACTTAAAAAAGATTACAAAGGTCATTGTAACTTTGAATGACTTTTCTCATAATTCTTACATTGAAATACAAGAAATCGCATTGTGGTGGCATCAGGATTCTATAATATCTTATTGAAACCAAAAATCTAGCTTCGAATACTCATAATATAGGCGCATCAAGGCAATTAAAGTGAAGAGAGTAGGAAAATACAGTTTTGTTTTAGCTATTATTCGTTTCCTTCTTCTACCGTCTGGTCCAAAGGATGACCACACCTTTTCTTTAACATTGTATAAGGATTATATTTTTGAACCACTTTCAGTGCACTTTCATATCTGTACAAGATTTGCCTAACAACTACTTTGTCGAGGACGAGTTTCGGAAGGATAAAGAAGAAGTTCAATCACATCTTGCTCTTACACTTGAGATCAAAGTAGTTTAACTCAAGATAAAAATTTGTTTGTATACTAGTACGACTATCAGAACACTTAAGTCTTTTACAGCAGCCAGCTCTCCTTATACTTGTAATAAAAGATCATCTGATATCACAAGCATATCTTGAAATCACAGCACTAGCCTATTTATGTGTGCAGAATAGCATGGATAGTGTCTAGATCTATCGCTGCCATTACAGCGTCGGTGTCTTCAGAAGACTCTCTTGGTCATAAGACTTTCAATACGSCATAAGTAGATTTATTTTGTCTCTAAAGCAATATTTTCTTTAAGTTATCCTAAACAACGGCACTCCTCTACGTTGGTAGGATAAACAGTCTCTGAAACTTGTCCTCTAAAATTGCATTCTGAATTGCATTTGGGTAAAAATAGTACTCAAGGTCTTAGACTTTGGCACCATTAGAAACTCGATAACAAAGAAAGTGTTCTRCTATTGTCTTCTWTTACGCCAAAATAACCARTTTGGATTCCTTTTMAGTCCAAACTCGCGTATCAATCCGAAACAAGCTCTTGAAAATAACTGCAAAGGTTAAAGACAGGAAAAGCCGAGAAGTAATGTACACATATATGGTTTAAAGAGGGATCTATGGAATCAGCCTTTAGGCAATTTGAAATAACAATTTTCTTTCCATTTAACTGAAAGTGTAGACTCTACAAGAATTGCTCCGGGAAAAGTGCATATGCTATAGTATAAAATGGTAAATATTGGGAGCACCTCAGACTTTGGCTTGAAAATCGAGCTTGTTTAAACTTCCTGATTGAATTCCGTGCATCTGGTAACGATTCTTTAAATTGTAGTCGCTAGCATACTTTTGGATTCCGCGTCATTAGGTTCGTCCACATGTCGTTTCTCGCATGTTGATAATTTGAGGGTTTTCCTTTGTGTCACTCAAATTCTCTTAATGAGATTTGCCTGTCATTACCATTTTATCGCGTTGACATTGCGATTCGATGTCTTTTTTCAACTTTCTTTACCATCAACGATATAGCAGATATAAGACTGTGGCTAATACGKCAGAGTCTTAAGATTGCATGAGTCAATCACGTGGTATTTACACCACTTTTGTTTAATWTTTCGTGACTGGCMTTTTTTTCCCGCGCAAAAGCGACTGGACCTCCCTCCTGTAGTKYTSTCACATCAAACAACGCCGCAAAGTCATGATCACTAGACTGCGAGCAATCTTAGAAGATTGAATCACATTTCAAGTCATCCTTTCATCTTGACATTTCAAAAAACTTGAACTACATGGCAGAAAAACTATTATTTTTAAAGAAATAGTCAAAACGTACATTAAACATTGAAACAGAAAGTCTGTATTTTCAGTGAAGGAACTGGAAAAAATACAGTGAAACAAACGATACAACAATTGAGTAAAAATGGTGAGAACTAGCGGTAAACTAGTGTGAACTGCGTCGGTGTTTCTAAAGAAACAGTTGTGTAAAAAGATAAATTTAACACCGTAAAAAAAGTAGGCGAAATAGCTTACTGACTCTTTGGACGTTAACTCTTCGTCGGAGTAAAGAGAAACAATATAGTACCTTCATTCAAATTATTAATAAAAAACGTGAATATTACTTTGTTGACGTAAAAAAACCGCTGACAATGCTCTGTGCGTACTGCTGCAATTACTATCTCCAAGAGATGAGAGATAAGTATGCAGAGGAAATGCGGAGGCGGTGTAAGACTATTAATAGTTTGATCTATTCACACGAAGTAACAAAATACTAACGAAACATATAGGGGGCTAGAAGAGCTGAACCCCTCTCCCCTTGAATTAACTGTGAGGGCCTTAGCTTATTATTAGAGTAGTTTGTAAGGTAAAATTCGTTTATTCTCCATACCAGGGATGATATATTATCAYATTTTGTCCTCATTGCTTTGTTCTCATTTTTTTACAAATCGCACACAGCAATCGCACCGTGTATGTAAATCCGCCTTTTAATTCTAGCGAATTGTCAAACCCTGTGGTGAATTATAGTTTCTGGATRGTTTTACGAAAACTGGTCATGTGACGCAAGAGAACTATAGTCACGATTGTGAAAGTTTCAGAGTCCCATGATGATATTGTTGTAGTTCATCGTTGCGTGTTTACATTAACGCGAGACATATCCGATTCTGGTGAGGTTTCCCTGTACACTGGCATTAGTCGCTGACCTTTCCTCAGGGTTATGCCACCCGCCAAGAGCTTCTCCCAATAATACAGCCAGTTTTGTCGAACAATTTCTTATCAGTCAGTCCTTTAAAGCGGCGCAGACACCGCGMGTGACGTATGCACGTTTGTGCCATTATGCATTTCCTCGATTGACCGCAATCAAAACAACCAATGTTGCTATTCAAAGCAGTTTATTCTGGTGCTTTAATCAACCAAACTGTGAAGTCTGTGAACTWTTTTAGCCCATATTGAACATGTTTCGAGTAACTCCTACTCGGAGTAACTTCTACATGGTAATATATTAGTGTCATAACTCGATTTTTCGAGTCTCAAAAATTCAGAATAACGTTTCGGTTGTATTAAATATAGCAAGCGTACTTGATATTAATAGATTTGTGAAGGGTGAATTTGTCCTGCCAATTAACAAAGATTATTAACCAATCATCTGTCTGTATTTGTTATAGGATGCGGTAATCCTGGTAAACCAAAACGAGGCTATAGAATTGGCGATGATTTCAGCACAGGTGCAACGGTCGAGTATTTTTGTAACTCGGGTCTAAGAATGGTGTCAGGGTCGCGTCTGCGAAGTTGTGATGAACATGGTAAATGGAGTGGGACGTTACCACGGTGTCGAGGTTAGTAGTGGTGCTAATGCTTGAATATTGAATGTATATCAACACGGCTACAATATCGGATTATATTGTTTGATGCCTCAGGAAATGTATTGATAATATATAGAATCCAATAGTTCGGAGTCTTAGATATTATTCAAGTTTACACTATAAAAGCAAAATACATCTATTACCCAGTGTATCACATTGGACGTCTTCAAGCAACAATAAATAACATTTCAATCTACTTTAAACAGCTGATAAGAGAAAGTTTTTTTTTTATGGAATTCTTAATGACCTCAAAAATAAAACGTTTGCCTTGACCTTGCATCAAAGTCTTGATTCTCAATAGAGTGATATCATATTTTTTTGGCAACCCGGGTTCCTAATGCAAGTAAACATTGGACAGTATCACTATCACCCTCGTTTCAAAAGCGTTTTTTTTTTTTTTGTTTTTCTCTCTTGATTTGTTTTTGTACGAATTAAGTAATAGGAATACTATACAATCATATTAGTCTACGTTTTCCTCAGACATTTGTTTCCTGCGCGCTTCTCTTTAGCTGCGCATGGTCAGTTGCTGTCTCCATGGTCAACAAGCAGTGCACTTATCGTGATAAACAGAACTTAGTCTATATAGTCTATATGCCATGTATTCCTAACGTCCCAAAGAACAAATCTATAGTGACTTCATTGTGTCAATATTCTTGTTTTTTAACCATTCTTTGAGGTTTTTTTGATTTGTCAATGAAGGCCATACACTGTTAATATAAACCAGATTTTATCTCCAAAGAATGGTCGACCTTTTTGAATGATTACATTTTCCTTAAGAATAGCCAGAACCAGTGATATCTATCAATAAGGAATGGATCTCGGAATCAACTACGGTTATGTTGCATGATGGTTTAAGTCTAATCACGTGACAGCTTTCCTGGAAATGGTTGTAACCAGTCAGTCTGAAAAAGGTTGTCCATTTGGAAVGGCATTGTCAGCAATAGATTTAATCTCTTAAAAAAATTGTACAAAGAATGTCGTTCAAATACTCCAAAAAAATATTATTGTTGACAAGACAGCGATTTACGAAAGTGTATTGGATATAAAGAATTGATTTTCTCGTTGACTTAATGTCTTGTTAACTGGGCAACTTTTTTATCTCTTTCCTCCGCATTTATACTGGGAATGCGTAGTCATCCTTTGTCTCATGCAAGTTCCCTCTTACCCGCTAGACATAAATGAGTGCGTTGAATATGACTACCAACCACCCAAACTCGCTAGAGCTCGGTCCCAGTTTATCCCAGACGAAGCACGCTTATGCCATCCACATGCCACGTGCTTCAATTCCATTGGCTCGTTCCAGTGCAAGTGCAATGCTGGTTACCGTGGAGACGGCAGGGAATGCTATCCCRAGGAACTTTATGGCWCCAGAGAAATTTTTATCAAAAGTAAGTTCGAAGTGCACTGCAAATTTAAGGAATGTTGTCATAGAAAAAAGTATATCGATATAATACACAGGGCTGAGACCGAAAGGTAGTGTGGGACTAGCAAAAGTTATTTTTTTTTGCTCCTGAAGACCACGCCTTATATCAGTGAAGCAAGTGCTAACATTGATTGGAATAAATAATTATTAAGGCCAGGATTAACTTAATTTCTAACAGTATATTTTTGTAACATCTGTTTGTAACACGAAGCGACCAAATGTTTAATTGCCTTCTGATACCTATACGAGCGATTCAAATTCCTTGTTTTAGTGCATTGTTTCAGTAGTATCCATGAATACGCATTACCTGATTGAGCTGATTGAGTTGCCCTCTATTTGCTTAACCTGTTTCATCATTAGTCATTCTTGTAATTCATTTATAATACATTTACCACGATTTTTTTTCAACTGACAGCAAACTGACTGTTAGAGCGGATTTCGTATGAGTGGGACACCGTTACCGCACGGTTACCGCACAGTTACCGGACCTGGCCTGCACAATTTTGGTGAACCAATGGGGCACTAGAATTTGGTTACAGTACGATTACGGTCACAGTACAGTACCGTCCGTTTCCCACTCATACGAAATCCGCTCTAATGAATTACAGTCAATCAAGGTTTGACCAAATACTGCGGGTCCTGTTGCTCTCTGTCAAATAAGTTGATTCTGAACGGTGTTCACCTTTACGCATGCGCGAAGTAAACACCAAACCAGCAATTGATACAAACAGGAAAACATTTTCACATAAGAGTTGACAACATAAAATAATACATCATCCCACATGGTAGAGATGATGCCGACTTCGATAACAAGCTCTCCAGTAGAGCAGAAAACAACATCCAATGAATTAGCTTTCACATCTCTATCTACATGCAAATCCTTTTTTTTCTGCTCTCGGCCGAGCAAGCCACCAAACAAGCCACCTACATTGAGAAGGCGTGCGAGCGAAAAAAACAAAGAATTTGAAACCCGCGTATCCTGGTGCGAGACTAGCGTTGCTAATGTCTCCAGCATGTTTATCAAGGCTTGGTATTTCCGTTTGCTTTAAAGAATTAAGGGCAGCTTTATTGCTGAAGGCGACCTCATAGAGCTGCTTGACTACTGTCACGCAATCTATTGATTTACTTAGAAATAGTTCTATTAACGAGGATTGCTCGTCTAATGATGCAGAGACCCATAAATGGTGCGAGTGCAGACAGGCATTTCCTTGAGAGACGAATCGGTTAACAAAACGAATGTACGGAAAAAGAGCAGTCTTGCTACGCGGTTAACAATCTACTCAGGGCAAGAAATTACAATCCGCGCAAGCTTTTTYTAAGTCGGTTGCAAGATTAATCTGTCTACAAATGAGCGTGTGGATATAGCCAGAGCATTCTATACTACGATTTTTCTTGACCTTTGTTTCATCGACTTATCTAAGGCATTGTGGCATGCGTTTATAGCACAATCATATCGACTAATTATTTTTTCAAGCTGTAGAAAAAGTACCGWACTTTGTCAGTTATAACTTAGTAGAAAAAGATATGCAATGGGATAGCGAATTTTGACCTTGGATATTGGAGTATGATGATTGTATTCAAGTTCCGGTTTCCTATGTTTACTAGTTTTTGGGCAATCTGTTGTATATAGTGACAGCAAATTCATTCAAACAGTATACAAGTTCTTTTTTAGTCCCCAATACTATATATGCAATGAAACTCGAAGTGGTATTAATAATGCAATMATGATGATGATGATGGAATCATTATCCTACTTTTAATGATAATCATAGTAATGATAGAGTAGTGATAGAGGTTATTTTTATTTTAGAGTTTACAGTTACTTTTTATCGATTATACACCTACTTGCGAAAACGTTGTCATAGAAAATAGGACATTTGTATTTAGTCAAAAAGGAATAAATTAAAAAAGACAAAAGAAGATCACTGAGGCTGAACACTTTCTTTTGTCTTGTTTTAATTTATTCCTTTTTACTAAATTCAAATGTTCTATTTTGTATGACAACGTTTCTGCAAGTAGGTGTATATGCATGGTTTTCTGTGCCTTTTTTGTGCATCTTTATACACTGACTATAACACTAGCTTTGTTTCATGTTTTTTTAATGCAAGAAATATTCACTAATTTATAACTATTTAGTGTCAAAATGAGAAAATTGCAAGCAAAGGAATTAGCAGAATTTAGCAGTTGTTTTGGACCATTTAAGTTTCATGAATGAAAAGGTTCCCGTCTAACAAATAATAAATATTAACTGATAAAAATATATACAGTAATAATGATAATGATAATCACAAATAATGATGATAGCAATAATTACAATAGTAATTAGATATATAATAATGAAAATTGAAGATWAATAACAATGATAATTACTGACAAACTTATGACCTTAGCCAGACCCCCCATCATTTCAAAAAATATCTAATTAAATTTTCCTTTAATTTTATACATTTTTTATGTGCAAAAACAAGRTGTATATGTTCATTTGCATAATCACAGTTTTTTTGGCACTATGACAGGTAAAATCCGCCTCAACAAAAATGCATGCGGAACAGTTATTTCAAGAAACACATCCAGAATACGACGAATTGTTGGTGGGTCACTGTCTAATCATGGTGCCTGGCCATGGCAAGCTGCCATTTACTACAAGATTAAAGGTATGAGCTCAACCCGTTTATAATAATGATTACAGAGTTCACGCTACATTTTCATCAACAAATTCCAGGTATTTTCAAGTACTTTTAGAGCACAGCAAGTTAATTTTCATGCACAAAATTTGAGGATGTTGTTGTTGTTTTGTTTTGTTTTGTTTTTTAATTGTGACTTCAAAAAATTATCTCATACTGTATAAAAATAAATAAGGAGTATTTTGAAGCTTTTCAAATGCCTTTGAAACTGAACGTAAAGAATTTCTAGGGGTAGTACTAACTGTGTCATTAAGTTTAACTTAAGCTTATATATTTCGGTAAATATGAAAAAAAGATATGTTCAAAATATCTCACCTTCTTAGTATAAAAGCCATCCTTTTCACATTCGTATCTTTGCCTTTTTCTCCTATAGTAGCATTTTGGATGAACAAGCATCGATAAATTAGCCTGAAAAATGTTAAAAAACWTAAATTGAGCGAGTTTTTATCCACCTTGTCATTCGGTTTACCAAAAAATATGGCGGCCGATTTTCAATACCTTGCGCAAAGCATTCTGGTCATGTCCTCGCACGTTGGCTTATGGGAAGTATATTTTTCAAGGAAATAAGTTGATAAACAAACCTGTACATGAACAAAGTTAAAATGGMTTAATAAATGTTTTAATCTTTTATATCCTGTTGCAGGTAAAACGTTTTTATTTAACGGAGTGCTAATAAAACCWGGATGGGTTCTCACAATAGCCAACGTCCTGCGAAGAGGCGGAAGATCAATTAAGCCCAAAAAACTCCGCGTGGTTTTAGGTATGTCTTGTCAGTGTCGCATCGCCGTCATATGTACTGATGAGAGCTAAACAAATATTTAACCTAAGAGATTAAGCGATATAAATTATATACAAAGTGGTTTAGAGGGCGTGTGATGAGCGAATCTCCTTTGCACTTCTCTGTCGCCATCTTTGAATGTAAACGTGCATCTGCATCGACTAGTACTGTACCATTAGTGCGGCCCGTAGGCGGTAACGGTCGGTAACCATTTCTGTACTTTTTTGATTTCAGGAGACCTTAACACAGGGAAAAAAGATGGCTCTGAGATAACATTGAAAGTCAAACGAATCATTGTACAYGAGCAGTATAGCCGACATAACTTCTCAAACAACRTAGCGTTACTGCAGCTTGCAAGACCTGTAAAAATCAATAACTTCATAAGAACGGTAAGGATCCCTCACACTTTTTTTTTTTTACAAATCTAGCTCCAGATACACTCTCGTGACGGGAAAAAAACATAATAACGTAAGATACCGCTGTGCAGAGGAAATTGCTATTGTGGACACTTGAAAACGATGTGTTTATTGAAYCGAGAATTAACTGCAGTACAAGCCAAGATTCCGATGATTTTTTTTTAATTTTAGAGTATTTCACATATATTTCGCCATATATAAATTTCTTGTATCATTGATACGTAGGTGTGTATCCCAAGAAAGAAGAAAGATTTACGACTAGAGAGACCTCCCAACTACGGCACAGTAACAGGATGGGGTACGACAAGAAAGATAAGTCTCGGTGAACTCCCTGGTCCATACTCGACAAAACTACGSGAAGTGACTGTTCCTATCGTTCCCACAAGGGAGTGCCAACGCGCTTCCATTTACGATTAYGATTCATCGCTTAATTTCTGTGCAGGTTTCAAACGAATACCTAAAAGTCCTTGYATGGGAGACATTGGAAGCCCTCTAGTCATGCAAAAYCCCCGAACYGGGAGRTGGCTTGTTGTYGGACTCTTTGGGTGGAGCGAAGGGTGTGGCCAGCCCAGAAAATATTCATACTTTACGAGAGTTTCAAAATACAAACGTTGGATAATTTCAGTGATTCGAAAGCGACATTGAATCAAATGAAATGAGACTATACATGCGTACGATTTTCTGCATGAAGGGGGTTGTCGGCCACGACAAGGAAACACTATAAAACTACCATAAAAGATGGATTTTCCTGCTATATCCTCCAATTCTCTGTATTTCACGACTTGGGAAATATATAGCTTTACAAACATCAGAACAGCATTTTGCTTGTATTTGACATGGTTAATCTGAACCTGGAATTCCATCGTATTTTACTCATTCTTAGAAATATCATGCGAGAAACAAGGAAGGAGTGTCGAAGGTGGCGTGACGTGCACGATGAACGGGAGTCAGTCCTGCTAAAATTTCAAAACAGATTTGAACAATTTATGGCTGGACCAATTAAGAAAACGATGGTGATTATATCAATTACGTAAAAGTGATCACAATTATACGATAACACACYTGCTGATCCGCTTGAATAAGAGCGCAGTTGTATGAAACAGTTAAACTTTGTGGTGCGACTACCGCTGATCTATAATGACTATGGGCGCGCCTTCATGATAATTAATTTTGAACTAACATTCAAACTGATGAGATGGAATCGTTTATCACTATTGTACGCATTTGATTTAAGATAGATATTTAAAAACCGTATTTCGTATGTTGTAAAGCAAAAACGTGTGAAAAGTGCGCCCGCTGTCAATGGTAACAGTGATATGTTAGAGCGGATTTCGTATGAGTGGGAAACGGACGGTACTGTACTGTGACCGTAATCGTACTGTAATCAAATTCTAGTGCCCCATTGGTTCACCAAAATTGTGAAGGCCAGGTCCGGTAACTGTTCAGTAACCGCCGTGCGGTAACGGGTGTCCCACTCATACGAAATCCGCTCTATCTAGACATGAATTTTGTAACATGCTTCCCACGAGTCTGTGCTATGCAGCTTTGAACTAAATGTGCACCAGCCAATGCAAAAGCAGTAGCTTCATTTTAGAAAGGAAAAAAATCGGCGTTCAGTCATTTGTAGCGGTTTATGGACATTCATTGTGCCCTAGAAACAATCTCAAGTTCGCCTATGCTTGGATTTTTGGGAAGTATATCACCAGAGAGGTTTAAACACAGTGGAGCTTCCATCTAGAGGCTGCTAGAGTAGATCTGGGTACGATAATGATACTAAACTATACGTTCAGACCTGTACATGGTCATTACTGCTTTTTCTTGTTCTTTATTCCCTTGATGCAATTAACGACAGTTGGCAAAATCCTCCCCATCAAACATTTCGCTGCAAAATAAGAAGGCACTGGGAACGAGTCTGGCATGACGACATTGAAAGAAAAGCTAATTGTATAGGACTTTTTGTGTGATTTGAGATTTTTCTCAGCTAAACTGTTCATTGTTAACCCGATGCCTTTCCAATTCAGGCACTTGTCATCATAATATCAAAACAGTTCACATCGAATGGATAGTTTGAAGCTCCACTGTTGGTTTAGAGTTGCAACGTCCATTGTTTAAGTAGATGTTGTTTTAAATATTATTCCGTTCGTTATTCATGTTGTTTACATCTCTGCATGACGATCATCGTACATCGATTGACAAGAAAAGAACAATACTTTGACTTGTGTATCTTAAGCACACATGAAAATTCTAATCAAATCTGTTAAATGAACATGACTATATACCCATAAACATTGAGATATCATTGCTTTGTTCTTGGGATACACCTTATTGAAAAAACGTTGACGGTTTCAAAACGGTGACACCATCGTACCTAAGACCGAGGGGGATTCTGGGTAAACACATAATATTATCCATTTACCTTCCCATGCCTCCTTTCGGCCTTCTGATCTTGACAATGTCTTTTAAGCGAAGTTATTCTTTATAAATATGCACTCAAGATGGCAAATATCATGTTTTTAGGCACACTGATTTTGTTTTACAAAAAGATCTATATTTGCTCTRTTTTCCCTTCTCACAAAAGCTTCCCTGACAACAGACGGAAAGAAAAACAACAAAGAACGAATTTTACTACTGTTTGATTATGATTTCTCTCTCTTAAAACAGGAAAATTGAGTGATGTATTATAGTTCATAGCTTTATGAACCTTTGATATATATTTTATAAGCTGAAAATGTTTTAACTTGAACTGTTGTCTAAGTATGTCATATTTTTTGTGAGATATCTAACTATTTATTGTCTTTAATCATCAAAATCCCGTTGTGATCTAATCACATTCTCCATTTTGTATTCGCTGAGCCACAGCCGAGAGAGATCCACGTGCAACATCAGCAACGAAGGCACTGTTATCGATAATGTATTTACCAGCCTTGTCTCTTCCCATGATCAAGTACAACTGTCYTTTGGAAAGATTTGGGCTTAAACAAGACCCTCTCTTCCAAAATTGAATGATTTCGCCTTTCATGATGTTTTTATTGCCATTCTTGATGACTTCTTGAACCYTCACGTGATATGTTAGCCATGAGTTCTCCTCGTCCACATGAATTACCGTCGCTACGATCGCTGCAAGAAAAAGTAGTTCCTGTGTTAATGACGTTCTTCGCTTACAAGATATATGCAGTGCTTGCTACGAAATGATTAAAGAGAAAGGACCTACCGAAGCTATACTCATTGCAGATCTTTAGAACTAACTTATCATGGTCCTGGATGCTGGGATTCAACGCTGCGCATTTGTCTATAAACAAAAATGACATTTAGTAAATAATTCAAACTTTTAAAACTCACTGAAGCAAATATTCACTATCAAATATTTGTATAGCTCAATACAAGTGGTGTCATGAGCATTGAATCATACTTAAAAGCTTGAAATTATAAAAGAAGTCCACTTCTATCATTTGTTACAATCTGTACTTGCTTAAAATTGCAATATAATTCAAGATGAAGACCAGACTCGTACCCAGTCGTTACTCCTTATTTTTCGCAACGCTCGAAGAGGTTGATGGGAAGGCGGGAGAAAAAGTAACTTCCCTTCGCCCTTCCCTTGATGCATTGCGCGTCTCTAAAAAAAGCCGGAGAAGCGACTGGGTACGAGTCTGGATGAAGACTGCGTATGTGTTGTCTTTCAAATCTCATTTAGCAATAGGCAATGTGCAGCGATGCCAATTTGCAGCAAAGCATGATGGTCGTTGTAGTCCTCRCACTTTTCACAGCCCCTAGAATATCTACTTAAAAGCCGTTTTTATATTTTCTTCTTAAAAACGGCACAAATACTTCTATTTTCCCTTAGAAAAAGCAAAAACTGGTTCTGAGGAAGGCTATTTTAGCGGACATAAAGAAGTGCGAGGACTAGCAACTACCATCATCCTTTGCTGCACAAAATGGCTTCGCTGCACATTGCCTACTAGACGTAATACGAGTATTTGATCAATGTTGACAAATCACAACGAAGTGTGCTAGAAGAACGAGACATAGCACAGTGTACTATTAATAGGAATATCTTACCTTGTGTGCAAATACACTTATCGCCATTACAGCTGCCAATTTCTGTAGCGCCCTTGCCAAGACCATAGTACTTGGTACACGAGACGTCCGGTTCGTAGTAATCGTAGACTTTAATAGGCATTGGGTAGACTGCCCCCATTGCTACAAAACGTTCGAGTTTGACGCCAATACACACTTCTTTGGTACTGTCAATCTAAATGCATAACGTTAAATTTGAAAGATTACACTGAAAAAAGGAGACATGATGATCAAAGAGTTCATGGTTAACTGACTGAATGAAGACGAGGAAGAATGGAAATGAAATGAGAAGAGAAAAAGAGTAGAATGGGAGGAGRCAAAATGGAAGAAGGGAAAGAAGAACAAAGGGGACGAGAATACGAAACAAGAAAAACAAGAGAGAAAAACTTATAAAGGAGAACTAATGTGATGATTAAGAGATACAAAATGATCAAGATAAGGAATTAACAGCTTACCGAATCCAAATAGAATACAACGGATCTTTCAGAGTWTTCATAATTGGCAATTGTGTCATTCATCTTCTTCATCAACTGAAAAACAACAGAATGATGAATACTCGTTTTATATCAAGAATAGTTGCGATATAACATTCACACGTAGCTCTTATTTTCACGGCCATGATGAYCCTCSTCGATATCACCTCAACTGCTCTGATCTTAGTCATTGTGAATGATTCCTCCAAATATTTTTGTCTTATATACAAACGTTTGATCTCAACAACAATTACCTTCTTCAATGACACTTCATCARCTCTATAACCAGTCAGAATTCCAACGTCCACGATGGCCATTCCTGTCTTTCCTGGTTTCTTGTATCTTGCGAATAGAAAAAAATTGTGTTAGTCACCAGAGAGATGACAATGCTATAGAGTRTCGATCTAAGCACTAAAAATCCCTCACACATCCTTACCGGGTACAAACATTGATCACAAGTTCACGTGGTGCTTCAGTCTTGGGCTTCTTCTTCTTGTCGGGCTTTTTATTGTTCTTCTTGTTGTATTTTCTTTCTAATCTTTTTAAGCACCTCCTTCGTTTTCTCTTGTTTTGCTTTCGTTTGCATCTTCTCTCTGCTTTTCTTCTTYGTTCTWTTTCGGCAGCTGACAGTTTGCCGGGCCCAGCGGGTGCATCATTCATGGTGAAACTAGCTCCCGAATCTACATTCGTTAATGTAGAGTTTATCGAAAAGGCACACTTTTCTTCTTTGGTCATAGGAAGATTATACATCACTTTGAACTATTAACAAAGAAAATAAATAAAWATGAGCAAATTTTAAGCTGCTTATTTTCCATCGATTATTATTTCCATCATTAAGACATTGTTTTTTAATAACKTTTTATTACCTGCATTTGTGCTACTCCAGTTCCGGATGTCTCAATGACAAAATCAACTGGTTCTTGCCTTAAGTAATGGTAAATCTACATACAAATTATATATCACGGTGAGTCTTGATCAACTCACAGCCACACTATGGTTACTTCAGTTGGTGATCGAGCGAGARAAACAACAGTCGTACAGCGAGATGAGTGAGGAGATACTCCTGGTGCGTATTATTCTATTATTCTACTTTTTTATTATATATTTATTTTTATTTATTTTTATTTATATACTTTTATATGTCGGGGGAGGGGAGGGGGCGGATGGGGGAAGGGGGGACGAAAAAGCTTTAATCTCCGGGGGCACGTCCTCCAAAGGAGAGGATAATTTATTAATATTAAAATTATAATAGTTAAAAAACTTACGTCGACTGATTGCTGCAGTAAAGCATTTTGATTATTGATGTTTATTGATCTCGGATTATTAGACCCCTGCGACGACGGTTTGATGGTGATTTTGAGGTCAAGTTTTGCACCAGCGGTTTGCTCACTGTATTTGGCAAGAGACTGCAACGCGACACAGGTATCCTGAAACCAAACAAATCTTTCAGATCGACTGCAYAGGAATCCCAAGAGACATTTGGGGTAAGAAGGTGATGTGTACACTTACAGTAGTGGACTTGAAGCCGCCCCCTGAGTTCTTTTGCTCAGTCAACCACGTAACAATAGGACCTGCGTACTTCAAACGATTTAATGCAAGTTGAGCCAGTAGTGCATATGCAGCGGTCTCTATGTTTAGCGCATGCCCTCCTGCTTTCCAATGACGGCTTACATGTGCTGAAGATATAGAGATAAAATTATAGATGGATTATAGCAATAAAAGTAAGAAATGACATTTAAATAAAACTCTGCATTTTAACGCTTTGCTTTTTTAACTTGAGAGATTATATACACTCTAAATAAGATGCGAGGGTTTCAAAATCTAACCTGGGTCAAAATGAGCGAGTTGCGTTAGTTTGGTGTTGGCTTTGTGTTGTTCTGGGCTGTTGGCCATTGCCAATGCATATGTTGTAATGGCAATGCTGTAAGGATCATTCATGTTGTCCAAGTTATTTTCGAGGTAGGTTATTGCCTTTGTCAAAGCTGCAGTGTTACTGACCTAAGGGTAAGAAAATAATATATAATAATAATAATATCATCATCATTATTCACATCATCATCATCGACATAACAATCATAGACCCTTACCTGATGACATTTACACTCCAGTAGAGCTGTGACGACAAACGCTGTGATAGCAATGTCGCCATTATGGTAGACACCCCCCTGAATAAGAAATTTATTGCATTGTTATGCAATATTTAAGAAGAATTTTCACTGACAAAGAAATAGCGCCTTTCATCTGATATTCATACGCTCCAAGCGTTCCTTGCGTCTCTCCTCTTATTACTTCACCAGTGAAAAGATTTCTTAAACTAGCTATTAAACATGCACGCATGTTTTGATGACGCAAACTGGTTTTCTAAACTAGTTTTTACAACACGTCTTACCACCATTTCCCTGTGTATGACATGATGGACCTCAGGAAAAGCACCGTCGACGCGTTGATTCTTAATCAGCCACTGGATGGAACTACACATGACATTCTCATCGATCTGAACTCCGTCGAACTTGCTCGCCTCACAGAATACTTTGGCCACAAACGCGGTGAGCCTGTATTTACAAAAGGTATCAATTGTAGCCTCTTTGAAATGACCACTATATGGTTGATATTCAGTGGTTTTATTTAAATAATAAGATAAAGCGCTAACACCTTACCAAGTGCTACCAGGTCGACTATTTCCCCATGCACTGAAGGAATTATCATTACGACGATAGTTGAGCTCTCGTTTGTACCCTAGGAAGGATAAATAGTAAAATATCTTCAGAAATCAATACTCACTCGTCAGTAATCAATACCCAATCGTCAGTAATCAATACCTGATTCAATGAATCTGTAAGCCTTGGCCTCGACACTTGCTGTCACTTGTTTTGTATTTGATAGATATTGTAGTACGTACACATTAGGGGACATGTAGATCATTGTCTGCTCACCACAACCAGTGGGCATGCGCAGTAGACCTTCAAGTCCACCAGTGATGAGATTTGTTACAACTGGACCAATCAAATTGCCTGTTATATCACAAAGGGTAAAATATGAATAAGACCGTCATGTGTTGCTCAAGCATGTTTGCCTCCAGCGATTCTTGTATGACAACCTTGATTGAATAAGCTATAATTAAGTACCTACCGGTAAACGAAATCATAGCATTCACGGACTCAGGGATGCTGCTTATTGGAACGGCAACAACGATGTTATCAATTTGCTTGTTTTGAGCTTTGTTAAAAATTTCTGCAATAACATATGAAGATGATATACAACATTATGCAAAAAATTCTGGAAAATTCAATTACAATTAT